GACACGTGCTCCGCCATCACTCTCCGCCACTCGCACATAAGCTGCTGCGGCATATGCCAATGCGGAAGCGTCCGTGAACACATGGACGGTGATGTCGTTGACCCAATCATCTCCCTTGAAACAGCGACGGATCTTGAGGTGAGAAAGAGTGTCGAACTCACTAAACCACCGGCTCCATGAAGCAAGATGAGCATCTGGCAGCGTGTCGTCCCAGCCGATTCCAGAGAGACATAACTCTTGGAACATTATCTTGGCCCTTATGGTGAATGGCGACAGCTGACCCCTTGGGTCGAACAATGTTGCCATGCGGCTCAAGACTGACCGCTTCGTAAACACTGTCGGAGATGATCCCTTGTAGTGGAACGTGAAGTAGTCCCCCTTGACCATCCACTTCACACCTAAGGCTTTCTGGGACACCTCAGGATGCGAGGGGCTCTCTGCAATTGACCTGGACTCTGCCGCGGCCCGCTCCTCAGCAGGAATAGACGCCATGACCTCTGGGCTGTTGCTTAGCCACTTACGTAGCGTGAACCCGCCACGCTTCAAGAGGGCCTGAGTCTCCACTCGAGCAAGAATCGCCTGCTGTACGTCACGTAGCGACTTGAGAAGATCATCGACATAGAAGGAGTCCCGCACAATGTCGCTGGCAATAGGATCATACTGGTCTCCAAAGCGCTCGGCAGTAGCTTGCAAGGCTCGTCCAGCTAAATAGGGTGACGCCTTGATCCCGAAGACCAGCCGCATGAATTCGTACGTCTCAACTGTTTCGCCAGGCTGCCATAGGAACCGGTGGTATCTTCGGTCTTCTGGGGAAAGGGACACCTGGAGAAACATCTCCGAAACATCGCCCATCAGTGCGATAGGCTCAAGGCAGAAGCGAATCAGGAGCTTCACGAGGTCGGCCTGCAGTTTCGGTCCAGCCAACATCAAGTCGTTCACAGCAACATTATTTGCTCTGGCGGCAGCATCAAAAACAACGCGGACTTTAGTCGTTGCCTTATCCTCCCGTATAACAGCGAAATGCGGCAGATAACACTGTGATGAGCCGCATTGTTCAACTTCCTCAGTTGTCAGTTTCCGGATGTAGGACTTCTGCAGGTAGTCTTCCAGGACCTTCGCATACCTTGGCAGCATACCTGGCCGTCGCTGCAGCGATCGCATGAGTGCGCGGAGTCGGTTCTCAGCCAGCACCTTGTTGCTCGTGACATCAGGCTGCTTGGCGCCGTCCTTCCAGGGGATTCCGACTTCAAACCGACCGTCCTTGTAGTTCAGGGTTCGCTGAGTTGAAGTCACCGCTTGCTGCTCGTCCGGAGTCAAGTACTGGTCTGACTTTGGTAACATTCCAACCGCTTCAAGATCCCAGAAACGACTCACCAGGTGGTCCAAATTGGTACCAGCAGTGGTCACCGCATGGAACGTCGAATGCGTCGGTGTGGATGGACATAGTACTGGCCCAAAACAGACCCATCCGAGAGGAGTCTTCCGAGCAATAGGGTCACCATCGCCTCCATGACGTTCCTCATCCGCACGGTGAAGCACTGGTGAGTTCAAGCCAATCAGCAAGTCGAGGTGATTGTCTCCTGCTGTCTTGAACGATACGTCACGAAGATGTGCCCAGTTGTCCTGAATCTCCTTCCAGTTCACCAATCGCAGATCCGTCGTTACTCTGGGCAGGACATATGCCTCAAGCTCCGTAGCCTTGTCACCACCATCATGCTGGACCGCTAGCGTCACCACTTGGAGAGTGTCGTTAATTGCGCCACCACCGATAACGCCGACCGACACTTTCTTCCTGCTCCCCCCTAGACGGAGACGCCTAGCCAGACGCTCTGAGACATAGCTGCACGAGGATCCTGAGTCCAGGAGGACGTTGGCTGTAGCCTTCGCTGTACCACCTCTGACTTCTGCCTGCGTGACCATAAAGGATGTTAGCCCAGCATTGGAGTCGTCTGTAGCTGCTGTTGCATGCGCCGTGTTTTCACTCGCAGCCGGACTGGTGGACGCAGCTGCCTTACTGGAGGGCAGTGATGGCTTTGACTCGTGCAGAAGCGAGTGGTGCTTACCACGGCAGTGAGGGCAACCGGAAGCAGCATTGCAGTCACGCGCCCAGTGACCTTCCCTTAGGCAGCAGAGACACAAATTCAGTAGACGAACCAGCTCGTTACGTCTCGACGTTGAGAGTGCCTTGAACTCATTGCAGTTAGCGAGCTGATGCGGACCACTACACTTGCGGCACCTCTGTCGTGCTTGCTGCTGTGTCTTTGAGTGGCCAGACGTCTTGATCGGAGCTTCTTGAGGCCTTTTTGGCGCCGTAGCTTCAGTGCCTATGAAAGACCGTTGCTGCACGGGGCGCTGAACAGCTTCATGATGCCTTTTTCCATGGGAGGGTTGACGGTCTGGCTGCTCGGTACGGTCATTGGCATACTTTGCCGTCTTCACCTTTTCTAGTAGCCAGGTGGCAAACACCTTGATGTCGGTGTTACCGTCTCCGTGCCTCTCAAAATACCTGATGAGCGTTGTCCTCGGCACCTTTTCGGTAGCAATGATGCACAGCTCAGGGCCCGGTTCAGAGCCGCACAGCTTCATGTTGGCGATTAGGCTGCGTAGCTTGACCGCATACTGCTGCAGACCCTCCACGTCCCTTTCGTTAGTGACTCGGGGATGGTTGAGCAGATCTCGGATTTGTTGCTCCAAGTGTCGATCTGTGCCACCAAACCAAGACTCCAGCTCCGCCCACGCGGCGTCATATGCTCCGGGGCCGTCCAGAAGGTCTTCAATGAGGATAGCGGCTTCTCCGCCAGCAACGGCCTCGCGAAGGCGAGCCATTTGGTACTCCTCAGGCAAAGATGAGTCGGCTACTTGCAAGAACCTCTGCCGCCATTGGATGTAATCGCGCCCTTTTCCACTGAACTTCGGCACTTCTATTGGCTTCAACCAAGAATGCCCATATGGACTGATGTGTGGAGCAGCAGGCTGTGCATACTGAGTCTGATATTGACTGTGAGCACTAGGCGCGGCTGCCTGTGCAGAAGGCCGGTAAGCTCTTGGTGCAACACTGCGTCTTGGAGATGGAAATGCAGTCTTAGCTGCGTGAGCTGAGGGTAGTGGTGGAAGAACTGAAGATGAAAATGCAGTAACAGGCTTGGCGTGAGGACGTTGCTGTACAGAAGGCATTGCTCTCGCTCTGAATGCTCCACCACCCTGCCCTTGAGTTTGACTGGGTGCTCCACTCACAACTCTGTTCACTGCGACTCCAGGTGTACCAGTACCACTACCTGCACTAGCAACGTAGGCAGCACTAGACACTTGAGTAGCGGAGTGTTGATGATGTTGAGGCTGTCCCACAAGCACACTACTCTGAGTAACACTAGCAGTTGTGAATGTAGCTGCATGCACAGCGTGACCTGGAGGTCGCAACGAGGATCGAGTTCCAGAGCTAGTATCAGCCCTGCTGCCCCTGCCTTGCATTCCTGGACTGCCTCTAAGTGCTAGTGCACCTAAGCCTGCTATCAGGGTAATCACCCACTGTCCCATCATCTTGAGCAGCTCCATGAATGGCATGATCCCTTTGATCAGCAGCAGCGGCAGCAGGCGTTTGCCAGGGAACAGCAGTGCTGCATCCGTCAGTGACGCCACTGTGATACATACCAGTACTATACATAGTCACTACTGATGCATCATCATCACTACAAGCTCTCAGGCTGGAACTGACACCAGGGTCTCCAGAAAACTCCGTTCCTCGGTCATCAGCACTACGTGGCGCGCTGTGGGCAAAATCTTCGCCCTCTAGCTCTTCCTCTAGAGGCTGCGCTGACAAGTCACCATCGCCACTGGGCTGACTGGCTGACTCCAAAACTCCTGACTCAAGGAGCGAACTAACTTCTGCCAGCGGAGAACAATCCTCGTTCAACTTCTCAAACCACTTTTCCAACTTCTCCAATCCTTCAAAATCTGCATCGTCTCGCAATTGATTCCTGTGGTCCTCGACCACTTCTTCGATTTGTTTTACTATTCCTTCGGCGTCAGCCAGGTACTTTTTGAGGTACCTCGCACTCGGCGACGACTTCCCATACTCCGTGTTCAATACCTTCAGCAGGTTGGTCAGTCTTCTCCGCAGGGAGGCACGAAACTTTACATAGTCGTAAGTCACACTTTGGGCTGGAGGTGCCTGCGAGCTACTGCCGAGCGCTTTGGAGACCAGTATGATCCTATTGCCAGCGACATTGTGCGGGACTCCTTCTATGTCGATGATCTTCTCAAGTCGCTACGTGACGTACAGCAGGCGATTCTTGCTCGAGTGGAGACTCAGGCCCTCTTGAAGCGTGGCGGGTTCACGCTACGTAAGTGGCTAAGGTGGTGCCAGTAATGTTTCGAATTGCGTGCATGGCCCAAAATGACCCAACTCTCACAAGATCAAAGGAGCGCACAAATATTCAACATAGACAAAAACTTCTTCTTGTTCCAAAACAAAAAACCCAACACAAGAGCTTCCCTGTCCTACAAAAAGTCACAGCAAAAATGTAAATCAGCTGTTACGCATGCGCTGCCTACAACGGCGGGAAACTGAAAAGAGCAGGCACGTGCATGATATTACAATCACCAATAAAACCGCACAGCAAAGGGGTAGCTACACTTGAGATGAGAACAGGCCAAACATCATGAATGAGAAGCGGGAGTCACTCGGCCACACAGACCAATGAAACACAACAGATAGTCTATACACAACATTCCTGATGAGTGCCTGAGATGGCATGAAACTTTAAGTTGTGACTGATCAAGCCATCTGTTGTTCTGACTAGTGTGTCACGGCTCTACCTTCCCGGTATCGAGCTCTCTTGGATTTCTGCTGGAATTCACAGCAGTGTGTACCCGGCATTCAATATGTCTTGCTACTACATGTACATGTACACTGTATGTTCTAACATCATAACATAAATTATGTTCTTTACTGCATTACGGCTTTGCATTGTCTTCTGTCTGACTAGGTCCTTTTCGGGAGAATGACTCGCAGTCGCCTGAAGAAGAGTCTGGTGAGTGTTGCACACACTATGCTGCATTCACTACACTACAACATGATGATTCTGCTGCTGCTGCCGCTGCCGATTACGGTACATTTTATTCCCGAAGCTATGCAAAGACGTTATTTTTGTAGCGTATGGCGCTAGCCAGGGTACACCGTGCCCTTCATTTCGTATCTGTGTGTGTGTGTGTGTGTTGGGGGACAAGAGCAAGGTCCATCGCGAGTGTCAATTTGCAGATGACTCTGCTCTGCTGGCTACCACTCATGATGGTGCACAGCGGGCCCTGGACCAATTCATACATGTAGCGTATTCTTTCGGCTTGACAGTCAACCTGGACAAGACAAAGGTGATGGCTGCTGGATATGGACTCGCGGAAGCAGACCGGCTGCCCCTGGACGTGGCGGGTGAGGTGGTCGAGTGTGTAGATAGTTTCCGTTATCTTGGCTCTCTCCTCCACACGAATGGCCGATCTACCCCAGATATCAGCTCGCGCATTGCCGGTGCATCACGTGCATTTGGAGCCCTGCGCCAGCCGGTTTTCGCTGACGGCAACCTCTCACTTGCTACAAAGCAGCTTGTGTACGGGGCATGCGTGTTGTCTCTGCTTCTGTACTGTGCTGAGTGTTGGGTGCCGTTGAAGCCCGACCTTGATGCACTGTGCTCTTTCCATTTGCGCTGCATCCGTTCCGTGATGGGTATCAGCCAGCGGAATGTCTGGGACGAACGACTGACCAGGGTTGATGTTCTGGAGCGGTGGAATCCGCGTCAGCCCCGTGACATCCCCAGCCTGCTGACATCGCGCCGCATAGAGTGGCTTGGGCATGTTGTGCGAATGCATGAGGAGCGTGCCCCGCGTCAACTACTGTTTGGCACCCTACATCCTGTCCATCCAATGTGCGGCCCGAGGAAAAGGTGGCGCGATGCTACGCGGAAGGATCTGGCGGCGTTGGGCATCGACGAATGGTATGACTTGGCCCAGGGTAGACGGGAATGGCGGGCCGCTTGCAGTGTTCTGCCCCCGCCCGAACCCGTTTGTGAGCCCCTGCAGATACCTTGTGCCGAGTGTGGCCGTCTCTTCTCCAGGAGTGGTTTGCCTCGTCATAAATGCCTCGATGAGCGCCGCAAACCTGTATCAGAACAGAGAGGTAGCCGACCATGTTCTTCCTGCGAGCGCTGGTTCCGCAGTGCCGGAGGTTTGGCGGTCCACAAGTGCCCCAACTCCCGGATGCTCCCCGCGACATCGTCTCGGGCTCCGTGCCGGGCGGCGGTGTCTACCATTGCTGCTCAGGCGACTCCTCCGCCGCAGCGTGTGCGGCTCGCTCTCTCATGCTGCAAGGCCCACTGTGGGGCCTGTGGCCGATGCTGCCGCTCTACTCGTGGATTCCAAATCCATAGCTGCCGGAGATGGCTCTCTCGTCGTGCCGATTGAACATGGTCCCTGATCTCTCGGCAGACTGCCGACTTTCTGCCGTCGCGCGTCGTTTTCCATGTTGTCGGCCCCGCGAGGGGACACGTGAGTCGTGACCGTAATGGCAGTGTTTACCAGGACCAGGACCAGGTGTTGGGGGGGGGGGGGGGGTCGCAGGGCTTCATGACGTGGCGCGCCAGGCCTGACTGGCTATCCCGTCAATGTTTAGGACCGTGCCGTCAAAGACAGCTGGCCACATATCCAAATAGATGATAATTATGCCAAATAGCGTGCAACTAGACTTGGGAGGGCAAAGCACACCAGTTGCATACAAATCATACTCCAGTGTGTACATGGTAGGCCCTGAGCTCTGCAGGAGCACAAGTCACTGGTAACTGTACAACTTTGAACTTTGTATGCAACTTACTTCTCTGCAATGCCCTCCCAAGTCTAGTTGCACGTTATTTGGCATAATAGAGAGGTTAAGTTACACGTTTTTTGCCCTTTTTCAAAACGCGGTGCAAATCTCACGTTACGTGTAATTTTTAGAGGTTAAGTTACACGTGCGACGTGACGTGAAATTTTGCCTGGCAGTATTCGGGTTTAGTTCGCACAAATATCAAATCTTCCAACAAACTTGATAAATCTCGATAAAATTACGGAAACTCACACAAATTCGGTCGGGATAACCAAGCGAAACTTCCAAAACTCACGTCATGAACTTACGCGCGGGACAGTCAACTCACGTAAAACACGTCAAATTTTACGTGAGTTTTTTCACTTTTTGACGTAAAAGTTCACGGACGTAAGACTTTTACGTGAAACTTAACCTCTCTAATATCATCTATAGGGCAGCACGTAACCAGACCTTATACAGTCAGCGAGTGCGACAAAATGGCACAAAACTGACAAGGAGTACTGAGACATTCGGCGACCTGACACCTAGCTCCAACACTTCTCCAAGTTGAGCCTCCCAAGTTGGGTGGTCTGTTGCTTTGCGTCGTCAAGTTGTAGTAAGGCCGGTATGTCTAATAGTCTTACTTATTTCGTCATCATCCAGTAACTTTCGGCATTCTTTGTTGCCGTGATGCGTAGCTCGTGCTCTTCTTCGTTGCGCTTTCCTTCCCCTCTTGGACCTTTCCGAACATGAGCCTTCCGAGTTGGAAGGTTGTTGGTTTGCGCCTTGGAGAAGTGTTGGAGCTAGGTGTCAGGTCGCCGAATATCTCAGTACTCCTTGTCAGTTTTTGCCAATTTGTCGCACTCGCTGACTGTATAAGATCTGGTTACGTTGGTGGACAGTCAGTCATAACTTGTAACATTTTGTCCTTCTTCTTTTCGCAACTATTTAATTGGCTCACCATCCGAGTTACATAAAAGTACAAGTATAGAAATAGTGTTCTTCTGGAAAATGACCCTGACGGGAAACACAATTAATGACTGAATATCACACACTGCACACACCACGTTAGCCACCTACGCAGAACTCTTGCCTGTCAGCAGTAGTTAGCCCTTTCCCAAAGGTGCTTTTTTAATTCGCACTTAGTGCTTTTCGCGTCCCTCAAAATATGCTGAAAAAGTGCTCTTTTTTCAGTGAAAACAGGCAAAAAGTGCTCTTTTTTCTGTGAAGCATAGCCATGATGCATGTACATGTTCAGATATGAACCCAAGGTGAGAAATGAATACGCATTCTTCCATTTATGGGTTCACGAAAGGCAAAACAGGAAGTAAAGTTCAAAAAACCCACTTTTTACAGCATTGTGTACAAGCTTATTGCCCCCCAAAAAAGCGGCGTGCCAACTTCCAAGGCCCATCGAGCACTCGAAAACTGTGATCGCATGCATGAGCAAACAGATTTTAGCACTTTTTCAGCTGAAAAAGCTGAAAAAGAGCGATATTCACCAAAAAACGCAATAAAGGGCGAAAGAAACGGGCTTTTCCAAAAAGGGCCAAAAAGGGCGAAAAAAAGGGCGAACACCTTTGGGAAAGGGCTAGCAGTAGTACCTGGCTAAAAGGACCACTCAAGCCGGAACCAGTGAAAGCGTGTGCAGATGTGTTTTGTTTCAGTGTGCACATAATTGCCTTTTAAATTGTATGTTTTGTGGGATGCGCACAGAAGCCAGTGGAACCTTGCAACCGGCCGAAAAGCCAACCAGAAAGCCAACCATCAAGGTCACCCCGAGCAGTGCAATGCTTTCAGTCAGTACTATTGTGTAGCGGTGGGTGTGGGTGTAGGTGTGTGTTGTAGGTGTGTGCAGCGGTGGGTGTGGGTGTTGGAGTGTGTTGTCGGTGTGTGTTGTGGGTGTGGGTGTAGGTGTGTGTTGTAGGTGCGAGTGTAGGTGTGGGTGTGCATGTGCGGGCGTGGGTGGGTGTCAAAAGAAGATATGAAAAAAAGATGTGCATGTGTGCGTGTGTGTTACGTGTGTGTATATATGGGTATTAGCGCGCGTGTGTGTGCGCTTGTGTGTGTGTGTTTTGCGGGGGGTATCTATGGGTATTAGCGCGCGCTTGTGTGTATGTGTGTGTGTGTGTGTGTGTGTGGTGTGCGTGCGTGTACGTACACGTGTGTTTGTGTGTGTGCACCAGTAGTATGTGTATGGGGGGGGGGGGTGCGTGCATGCGTGCACACCGATTTGATGGCCCAGACTTGCATGTAACTAACTTGACCGAAACATTATTGCCCTCTGGTCCTGCATGCCAGGTCCGGAATTTGCCTCAGCTCATGTCCTGGGCCTGTAACGTAAAACAAAGGCGGACTACAATTGTAGTAGAAATGAAATTCAGCCATTCTAGTGCTCCGTGCTTGATCAGTTTCGCTGTTCTCCATTACTATGTTGTTCAGGCTAGGGGAGAGTTCCAGATGATTATCAGTAGTAATGGCCGCATCTGCTACTGCTCTCCGAACGTCGAATCCTTGCTGGGAGTCCGTGACGTGAGTGATGTGCAACAGTGGGTTTGGTTGTGTGTGTGTGCGTGTGTATGTGTGTGTGTGTGTTTGTGAGTGATGTGCAACAGTGGGTTTGGTTGTGTGTGTGTGCGTGTGTATGTGTGTGTGTGTGTTTGTGATGGCAGCTTGTTTTGATTTCCTTTTTTTTTTTTTCAATTCATTTTGCTGTACTTTCTGTTTTGTTTGCGCCACTGCCTCTCACCTTGCGCTCAGTTCTCTGAGTGGAGGGCGGCGTGACCCCAAGGGGTAGCTGATTGATAGTAGTAGTAGTATAGTAGTGTTTGTGTGTGTGTGTGTGTATGTGTGTATGTGTGTATGTGTGTGTGTGTGTGTGTGTGTGTGTGTGTGTGTGTGTGTGTGTGTGCACGCATGTATGTGTTTACATTTCCGGGTGAGATTGCTACAGTCCCGTCACTGAGTAGCTGCAAAGAACGCCAGCTAGCTTAGGTACTAGTATTCTGCCCAAGATTGTGAAAGCTTGCCGGCCTCAGTGTACATGTATATCTACAATTCTAGACATGGTGACAAGGGATGCCCGACACTTCCCCAGGCCGTTTCCACCAATGGTACAAGATTATTGTGGACATTCCTGATATCAGGCTTCGTGTGTGCCACGAATGCTGTTATTGGGCTCTTGTTCCACAGATCCCGTAACAATCATTGTGAAGTGGCACGACGACCCTTCATGGGAGGTGGCAAAAACAGCGCAGAGTCATCAGTCAATTTCCTATCGCCGTGCTCCGATTTCAATACTGAGTTGGACACAGGTAGCCAGTTCATTCAGCTATCAGTTCCTACTAGGCAGCACCAGTCATCTTTTGTGATTACCCTTGGCCAAGTGCATGGAGCTACTTGATCTTAGGGCTGGGTTACTCTATCAATTTGGTCTCATCTATGATGTGGTGTTCCTTTGTCGCAGGTGGAGGTGATGGGAAACAAAATCACGGATTTTGTTGATCCCGATGACGCACACATCATCACCCCTCATCTTCAGCGCCTTAACCAGATAGGCGTCACCCAGGCGGGGGAAGGTGAGCTTCCAGACTATGCTGGCACTACTGACCAATATAACGCACTTTCCCCGGTGTAAACCACGCTTGAATTTTTCTTTGCCGGTGTGTGCTTTCCCTTGTGCTATTCAACAAAACAACCATTATTACACTGCTACCATTTGACTCCTACGCACAGATGGGCCCGAGCCGGATCCCAGCATTGCCGGTGAGTTCGCAGCACCAGATTCATGCTCTTTTGCTGTGCGCATGAAATGCGGCAATCAGAAAAAAAGAAGAAATAGGACGGCTTCATCGCGTGCATCCATGGCCGCCAGCAGCAAGTCTTACGACTATTGGGTCAGTACAGTTCACTTCTAAGTCATTTAACTCGGATACTGAGCCAATAAGAAATGTAAAAATAGAAGAAAAACACAAAGGAATTAGTTATGAAGCAACTTTCCACGACTGTAATTAGATGCTCGAATCTCGAGAGAAGGAGGGTTTCCTCAACGCTACTATTGATCCTGGAGCGGACCAGGGATCAATGTTTGAGTTTCGCTTGGCTAGAGAAGGATAAAATGAACTTCGAATTACGAGTAGAGCAACTCCATCTCACTCGAAATAAGCGCTCGCAGGACATACATGTAAATGTGGTCACTGTACTGTAAACGGCTCTTCTATACCGTTTGGATCTAATAAGAAACCCATGACCACTCTTGATCAATTACAGGCAAGGTTTGCTAGAGCTCTACTGAAAAAGAAAAAAATTGCATTTGATTACACTTCTTCCAAATCTGTCTTAAATTCTAAATGCTCCCTAGAGTCACTAGCCTATCGTCGTCAAATCATCAATCTCACTACTTTTCACAGATATGTTTTCCATCATCGTGATTACCTTGCTGATTTCCATTTCAAGATTACGAATAGTGAGCGACGACCAAATAAAATCATTCTTCCCAAATTTAAATCATTGTCTAAGTCTCTCTTCATGTTCCGAACTGCTATTCTATGGAACTGTTTACCCCCCAGTCTAACATCGGAAGCCTCGCTCTATAAGTTCAAAGCTGCCCTCAGGAAATTTACAGCTGACTATGCTTATGCAATCAACGGAATTCCGCCACCTTGCAGTTGATTTTCCCCATTTCTCTCCTCATCAATCCCTACTTGTCTTTGTACATACATCTACATCTACTGTTCTTTCAATCAAATGAACCCCTCGATAGGCACATTGCCTTTGGGTCATTTCATCATCATAATAATAATAATAATAATTTCGTAATACGTATTCGTATGCAACGACGCAAATCCACACAATTCAGTAGACACTTTTTCTATCAAACGTTTTCTTTCCCTTCTCTTCAGGATAGTACAGGGAATGTTGGAAATTAGAAAAACACATAACTATATAGAGAATGAAAGAAAGAAAAAGTCAACACTTCAACATAGGTGTTAAAAATGATTAAAGTGTTAAAAACTCAAAAACAAACAGCTGCAAGTTGTAGACAAACACGTTGAACACATCAGGGAACACTTGTCACACTTTCACGAGGTGTGACACCAAACAACTGCAACGATAACACATTCTCCTTCTGTACACATAGTTCTGGATCTAGTTTACGAATATACAGAGCTTCTAACACAGCAAGATGTAACTTAGACCTTCCACGAGTCAAAATCGAAAAGATATCATCACTATACAACTTACGACAACTAGCACTGCCCGACAAATGACGCTTGATGGACGATGTCCGATCACTTAGCTCTGTCACCTTCGACGCCTGCCGTTGTTCTCTTCCGTTAGGCTTGTTTGGTTGGTTGCTCTGGTCCACACCTCCAACGTCCGTTGATTTCATGTCCGTTTTTGTTGATTTCATGGCCGTTTTCGTGTCACTTCTTGGTCCGTTAGGTCTTGTCCCTGTTGACGCTCGTGGTACTCGTCCTCGTCGTGGCCGTCCTCCAAAATGTGCTGTGCAGTCCGATACTGGAACGCCTTTGTCTGCGTCCAGTGTAGATGTACGCATGCGTGCCTCCGCCTCGACGGGCGGGGAGCTTGGCCCATCTCAGACAAGCGTGAGGAAGCGAGGGAGACCGTCTCGAAAACCACCCAATGTGACACTGGAGCTCATAGACACCGGAAGAGTTACCAGAAGCAAGGTGAAGAGACGGAGTACTGGGGATCTGAATACGTCGATAATGGAAGTGACAACAACGATCAACAAGAGGAAACGAGGAAGACCAAGAAGTGACACGAAAACGGCCATGAAATCAACAAAAACGGACATGAAATCAACGGACGTTGGAGGTGTGGACCGGAGCAACCAACCAAACAAGCCTAACGGAAGAGAACAACGGCAGGCGTCGAAGGTGACAGAGCTAAGTGATCGGACATCGTCCATCAAGCGTCATTTGTCGGGCAGTGCTAGTTGTCGTAAGTTGTATAGTGATGATATCTTTTCGATTTTGACTCGTGGAAGGTCTAAGTTACATCTTGCTGTGTTAGAAGCTCTGTATATTCGTAAACTAGATCCAGAACTATGTGTACAGAAGGAGAATGTGTTATCGTTGCAGTTGTTTGGTGTCACACCTCGTGAAAGTGTGACAAGTGTTCCCTGATGTGTTCAACGTGTTTGTCTACAACTTGCAGCTGTTTGTTTTTGAGTTTTTAACACTTTAATCATTTTTAACACCTATGTTGAAGTGTTGACTTTTTCTTTCTTTCATTCTCTATATAGTTATGTGTTTTTCTAATTTCCAACATTCCCTGTACTATCCTGAAGAGAAGGGAAAGAAAACGTTTGATAGAAAAAGTGTCTACTGAATTGTGTGGATTTGCGTCGTTGCATGCGAATACGTATTACGAAACTGTTTTTTCCCACCGCCTCCAAACTACTGTTTGAATAATAATAATAATAATAATAATATACGAGGACAGAGTTCGAATTATCCAGCGGGCATGCTTTTCGTACTTCGAACTATGCGTTCGAATTTGACTTGAAGTGACTTGCAGAAGATCGGTACGACGAAAACGTTCACACGGAATGTTTGAATTATACCGTATTCGAATTAGAGGGAGTCGACTTGTAATAAGCAGTCAGACAGTGCAATAACAGGGCACAAAACTGACAGGCAACTGAGACATTCAACGACCTGAGACCTACTGTAGCTCTAACACATCTAACCGTGAACTTTCCAAGTTGGAAGGCTGTTGGTTTGCGCACGGGAGATGTGTTAGAGCTAAGTCCCAGGTCGTTGAATGTCTCAGTAGCCTGTCAGTTTTGTGCCCTGTTATCTCACTTCCTGACTTGCTTATTATCTTGATACAGTCGTGGATAGCTGCTTCACGACTCGTTCCTATGTGTTTTTCTTCTATTTTTACATTTCTAAGTCATTCCAACTTATTTTTTGTACTTTAGCCATGGGAATTACTATGGTATCCTGCGGTACAACTTGTAGTAATTGCCTGATAATTGTGCACTGCGCATGAAACTCAGAGTTGTGAGAAAGCCGTGATCCATTGTTGTTGTTGTTGTTGTTGTTTGGCTTTATTTAAAGTGGAGTTCCAAAACAGGCCTAAACAGGCCTAAACCTAATGACAATGGTCCCACTGTTGTTGTTTTTCACGTGTTGCTCCGGTCCCTTTCCCCTGGGTTTTTCAGCTCTCTGTGCATACTTCTCCCTTGTAGTACTGCCTCAAATTTTTCAGAACTTCACATACCAGGCAGGCACAGTGGGTTGGTTAAAGACCATGATTGAGACACGAGAGGTACAGTACCTGATTCACATCCTGCCTGGGAGCGGGTTTTACAACCGTGCTGCTACCTACAGTAAACTGGGAACCTGTGGCCAGGCACAACGGGTACATGGATGCAGCTAAAGGGTTTCTCCGCACTCGTGCCAGTGGTTGTGAGAATTATCCACTCACCCCCACCGTTAGGCGCTGCATCTACCGCTAGGGTTTACCGGGTGTTAGCGGCCGCCGTGAGTTCCCGGGGGGGATCCCTTCAGGAACGGACACGATAATTTACTTTTACTTTTACATACATACATACATACCTATTTACTCTTGGTTGTATATTGTTTAACATTTCTTAGAATATTGTATATATGGCTGATTCAAATGGTGGTAAAACACACACCTGGCAAATATGGCGGTAAATAAACGCCTGCCCTCGCACACTCTCTAGGCTGCAAAGTTGTAGATATCCAGTTCAGTATGTCTGTGTATGATGGTCCTACCGGTAGGTCCTGCATGTCTGTGCAAGCTATCGATAAGAGCATCATCCATTGTGAATTGAAATGTGACCTAAGCCAGAGACCAAGGTTTTGAAGAATATAAATCTGCTCTCTTCGGCATGTGTGTGTGTGTGTGTGCGTCTGTGTGTGTGTGTGTGTGTGTGTGCGTGTGTGTGTGTGTGTGTGTGTGTGTGTGTGTGTGGCTTCTCTTCTCCTTTACGGAGCGGAGTGTTGGGTACCACTGAAAAGCGAGCTTGCGGCGCTGTCCGCCTTCCATCTTCGCTGCATTTCCGCAATCTTAGCCCTCGGTAGAAGAGACACCTGGGACTTCCACATCAACAGGAAGACCATTCTGGAGGCCTGGAATCGTCGAGATCCAGTGGATATTACCACACGTGTTCTTCGCCGCCGTCTGGAGTGGCTAGGCCATCTAGCTAGGATGGACGGCGATAGAACTCCGCGCCAGCTCCTGTTTGGTGCGCTCCTTCCGCCGAGGCCGGCTTGCGGTCCTCGGAAACGGTGGCGAGACTCTGTCAGAGCTGACCTCTCCGCAGTGAACATCGACCACACGGAATGGTACGACCTCGCCCAGGAGCGTGGGAAATGGCGCAGTGCGTATTCCGCTCAACCAGTACCGCGATCGGCTCAGCGTGACACTTCTGTGCTCTGCGATGTTTGCCAGCGTACTTTCGCCCACCAGAAATACAAGAATCGCCACAAGTGCCTGGCCGAGAGGAGGAAGCCCATATCTGAGCAGTCCGGCAGCCGACTATGTAATGCGTGCGGGAGATGGTTCTTGAGTGCTGGCGGGCTAGCTTCGCATAAGTGTCTCTCCAACTCGGCTGCTGAAGTGGCGTCGGTCTCGGCTGTGGCATCGGCAGACTCGGTCCGGAAACAGCGGGTTGCCCTGCCCTGCTGCAGAGCGCATTGTCTCGGCTGCGGTCGCTGCTGCAAGTCATCCCGTGGTTTCGACCTGCATAGCTGTGCTAATTTCCTGTCCAGGAAGTAGAGCGGCGTTTCTGGGTCCAATGCTGAACTCAGTGCTGTCGACCCCTGCACAGGGGACACGTGACCATTTGATGGCAGTGTTACCAAGGACCAAGGTGTGTGTGTGAGGTGTGGTGAGCCCATAAGTGGGCTCCTTTCCAAGTCCACCCGGACTTTGGGGATTTCAGGGGCGGCGGCTGTTGGGCAGTTCAGTATCCAATGAGTAATTTTTCCAAGATTCCCTTTTGAGTCTCTCTCCCGTTACCCGGGGAGACCCATGTGACCAGTTTTCGCCATGAGCAAGTACAAGTGTGTGTGTGTGTGTGTGTGTGTGTGTGCGTGCGTGCGTGCGCGTGTGGGTGTGGTGTGTTTGAGTGTATAATAATTATGTGTGTGTATGTGTATGCATGTGTTTGTGCATGCATACTGACCTTCACCCGGTCAACCCTAGCGGCAGATGCAGCGCCTAACGGTGGGGGTGAGTGGATAAGTCTCACAACCACTGGCATAATATAAGTGCCGAGGATTTATCGGGTGTTAGCGGCCGTCGTGAGTTCCCTTCGGGAACGGACACGATAAATTACTTCTTTTTTTCTTTCTTTTTTTTACTGACCTTCACACTCCCCTACCACAGCCAGTAAGATGCCACGGCCAGTATAGACCACCAGCCATGGACCTGAAATTGACCGAGCCACTATCACTGCACTCAATGGTGATCCTCTGCAAGCCCGATGTTACCATTGGCTCTGTGAGCATGGAGTCCCGTCCAAGCGGAATGAATTTCCGAGCTCGATACAATTTGGCTTTCGAGATCGTTAAATGCCATGAGAAGTGAGTATGGGTTTGCAGTACTTCGTTTTCAGCAAACAAACAATCGTAGTGTACACATCGGGTATTAGGTGTTTGATTTTGCTGCATATGCATGTGGTAGCATGCAGGGTTCAGACCAGCAGAGGTAGTGCGGGCCAAATACGGATTTAAAGGCCACGCAAGCCGCCGACCCGTTTGGGAGCAATTGCACTGCTTGCTGTAAGGCCATAAGAAACAATTACCGCATCATAATAATGTGAATATGCACCAATGTACCTGAGCAGGACCGATGCCAACTTGCCAAGGCTTCCTACCATAGTATGATGATACTTAACAGCTAAGGTAAAAGTTTGTGAGTGTTAGGGGTGTGCGGATAATGCTCGAAAAGGTGGCAGATTCTGCTCGAAAGTCAGTGAAATTGGCAGAACCATACAAACCTTATGGCGGGCAATTCCTCGAATTCTGCTCCTTTTCTTTATCCACATACCAAACATGCATGAAACTTACCAGAAAAAGTACCGAATTCTGCCATTTTTTTCTGCCAGCATTATCCGCATATGCCTAGTGAGTGTGCATCAAGACTTTAAAAAATATCCAGATGACGAGGCACTACTAGTTGAGGGAATGGAGAATGGAAAAATTTGAAGAAAAAGTTGACTTTCCGCATCACCAGGCCTCAAACCAGGGACCTTCGCTTGAGGCTTTAAAACAAAGAACTCTTACCGTTGTAACTCTTTTCTTCTGTCATCCAGCGACCAAGCAGTGTTCACTGGCCAGAAGGATCTCATTGGTAAGAGCCTGTACGCGCTGATTCATCCCTTAGATGCCGAGAAACTGCGAGAGAAGCACCATGCATGTAAGTCACACGCCTGCACACACGCATGTAATGTGTCTTGAAAGAAAGCACTATGCACGTAGACTTGACAGACACTATGCATGTAGACTTGACAGACAAAATGTACGTAGTCGTAGGTGAATCGCAAATGATTCAAGGGTAATGCCCCCTTGCGCTGAATATAAATCCCAATTATTATGCGTGATTTGCAACGGATAACCAACTGACCACCTGCTTCCATTGCACATGATGAACTAGTCAGTCAGTGACAAAGCATCGTACGCATTGCTTCCTGATGACTTTTAGTTTCATGAAACATCAGACTAGATGCGGTTTGGTATTATATTTCCACTGGAATAACGTGCAATATAGGCACGGCTGTCAAGAAGCGGCAACTAACAGATGGCATTGGTTCGAGATGGCATGGTAACCACGCACGTGCCGTGGTCCGTGACTTGCTCATGTATGTACGCAAAATGCAAGTCGCAAACACACAAAGATCGTCTTTGCATTTGGAGAAAATATCTTTGACTCTTGCTGGAGGTTGGCGAGGTTTGCCTAATCTTTACTTGATTGCGATGCCGGCATGTCCTCTCAATAATTCAGAACAAAGAGAGCTGATAATCGCTTCATTGCTGAGTAGAAGTAACAATCAACTCTCCTCAGGTCCTCAGTGCCAAAAGCAAACGACTGCAATTCCACAACGCTCACTTCACGATGATGAAACAATAATATAATCGTGTACACACAGAGTTACTTGGACCATTGGGTCATCCCTATCCTAGCCGCTACTACGGCGCTAGTCCGTCCAGCAAACAGATATTGACTATTACGATTCGAACAACTGCGTGAACGAGGGCTCGCTGAGCAAATACAATTGAAGTCGTGACTCAAATCAAGAATTAGGTGGTTACTCGAGAAATACGAGCTACCCCACAAAACTGACACATGTAGATGGCATGAACGAAGGACAAATAGGCTAGACAAAGTGTCCCAAGGGACTGAAAACAGCAGATCTACCAAATAAGACAGCCACATATGCCAAAACAACGATTCCAATACAGTGGCGACTAGTATCAGGCAGAATGAAAGGCTCCAAAGTCCACGAATACAGCCACGACCTCCACGAAAAGTTTACGACCGCCACAAAAAATGACATTGCTCTACCTCCTTGAAGGGCTAAAGTTACCAGTTATTCTATAACGATGTCAGGTTATGCCTGTAGGACCCCCCACAGCCAGCACGAAATACCTTCCAAATAATTCCAGGATGCGATTGCAGCTCCAGACAGGAGGAAGAACATCGTTGAAAATAACGGCAACGATGCCCAAACTCTTGGGAAACGGCTGAAGTCTTCCTGAAGATGTTAACATTGAATAACCATAGATTACCAGCGTGGTTTGGTGACTTTAGGACTGTTTTGAGACTTAGAACGAAGCGATATCTCAAAATTGATGGAATTGTTACCTGTCAAATGCGTGGGCGAGCAGGCCAGCTGACTGGTTACGCATGAGCATGCATTAGGTTAGCATGGTACCGGTTCACGTGCAGAGAACTAAGTAAGTTGCCGCGATCCAAGTGCAGTTAACAGCCGTGTAGGATGTACCGTTAGCGGAATTTCTATTAAACCCACATTATTCACCCCAACAAATTCAGTGTGCCTAAAACTATACACAGTAAAACCTTGTGTAAGCGACCTCTGGGTTTAGCGACCACCTGCTCTTAACGACCGTTTTTCCATGCACCGACAGTTCTACACGGACACTGTGGGACCTGGTTCTAAAGACCACCTGGCTTTAACGACAGTTCTACACGGACACTGTGGGACCTGGTTCTAAAGACCACCTGGCTTTAAGGTGGCAGACTACCCAAAAATTCGCTGAAAAATCGAATTTGTAAATTCATATTGAGTGCTACGTCAGTTGAAAGAGCATGAATAGCTGCAAATTCTCTGAAAATTGTGTCCCGATCTGACCGGCCGTTCAAGAGTTATGGCCGAAAATGTGCCCTTGCAAGGAAAGATTTTTTTGTTGCACGCTGTCATTTGTTGGCAGCACTGTATTTGAATGTGAGCAGACCGTGCGCAACTTGTCGTATGATGGAAACACGTGAAAGTGTGCAGAATTTTGCTCCAAGTCCAAAAAATCAGGTTTTTGAGCCACGTATTGGGCTGCACGGCGCCGTGCAGCAGGACTTTTGCCAGCACTCTCGTGACGTTGCAGATATGTGGCTTGATTATTGTAGTTGACGTTGGTTTAGTGACTTTGGCAAGTTTGAGTCGTGTCAAGAAGTCAGGTAGGATTCAGTACTAGGCAGTAGTGAAACGTGAGTGATAGTCTTTGCCGGTTTCTGAGGGTATCCTGGATTTGGTGTGCAGCGCTGTGGAAATGGCTTGCTGTGGAGGTCCCAGCACTGGATGTTGTATCAAAGGTACGACCTCGTAGCACGTGCTAAACCTAAAAAAATTCAAAAATTGACTTGGGTCTGTGGGAGTGTGTGAGAGAACGCCCACTCGTTCCGTTGTGACAAATTCCAGGGCCTCGTTGAGGGGCCCTACCCCATCACCCATGGCTGCTTCTGGACTTGTTCTAGGTTTGAGTCCCGCGCACGAACAGAATGAGCACGAAAATGTGAAAAAATTGTAAATGCATTTGTTTGGCTCCTGGGTGGCTCGCACACCGTGGCACTATGCCGGAAATTTGAGTTTTTCCGGCCTGGAAAGCCTGTCAGTGAGGCGCAAGAACTTGTAAATCATGTCCTGAGGGCCAGCATAGTGGCAGGAGTGTGTGGTCAAAATTTCACTCAAATCCATTGAGAAACACCAAAGTTACGGGCAATTGAATGCCATAATTATGAAATTTATGGGTAGGCTGCCCCCTTAAGGGGTGTTCGCTTAAACCAGGTTTTACTGTATCATTGATGTACAGAGTAGATGTCTGTATTTTGTGACAAAAGATCTGGGTGCGTCTCATATTCCAGTGCTGCTTGTACTCCGGAAAATGCTGTACTATCAGATGTTCCTAAGCACCATGGTCCTCTTGAACAATGCGTTTTTGTGTCCGTCCGATATCGTGTTCTTACCGTGGGGAACAATAGGGAAGTTTCGCTCTACGTAATTACATGTACGTATGAAATCCGTATGTCGCACGCGCCAGGGAACGAGGGCAACTTTCATATGAGCCGTCAGATGCGAAAACAGACCTTATGGGAAAAAATTCATATTTGTGTTAGTGATACTATCTGAAAGCCAGGAGCATCAAGAGTCGTATGCAAAAAATTAGAGTTGATCTGGACCAAGGGAAGTAAAGTTATAGCCTCTACAATAGGAGACCGTTTCAAATTGCATCTCAATTTTGGGTGAAATACCAACAATTGTTTCACCTACTTTGTAGAATATTTCCTGTTTCCTTTGACCGATTTCCACAAACGTGGGCTTTCTGGAAAGCTCTGGCGACGAGCAACCCGTTGGGCCCAAATCCGATAGCAAATAAAGCACAGAACCAGCGCAACAAGCTGCAGGCATCGCTTCAGCGCTGGACTTGCGCCGTCACACGAAAATTGCTCGCCATTTCCATCTCCATTATCCCAGGACGCCCGATTTTTTTCGAGAAGATGCACTGAGAGCTTCCAAGACGTCTGAGCCTGTTGCCGAGATCGTAGGTCGCTTGAAAAGGGGGAAACCCCGGGTCTGGATCGTTTGATTTGCACGTAGAAATGCAAAGTGCTGTGACGTATCTTTCAGGCTTCGCAGCTGGGGAACGCAGCCCGCGATCGCGCTTGCTGCATTGGATTCCTTGGAGTTTTCTCTTCGATTTACATACTTGGATTGTCCCGAAAGACCGATATTTGACTGAAATACGAAGGTTTGTAGCTTGGTTGTCCAGGCGCACCAGAGCGTAAACTCGCCAACTTTCAAGTGCATTTTTCTGCACTGTGCAGTGTTTCCCATAAGGTCGGTTTTCGCATCTGACGGCTCATATGTAAATCTCTCTACGAATTCCCGTAGGAAAGCTCTTTCCTACGTTGGGTCCTCTGTAGGACTTTTTGAAATAGTTTTCGCATTTTCCGGATTTATCCATGGCAACGTTCAAGCCGCGCGAAACACACAAGGTATACACACTGTACACCACGTGCAAAATATCATGGAAAACGCGGTTTCGGTTCATGGTGCATGCGGTGGGCGCATGCAGGCAACGCGTCTCCAAAGCAACCAGGCATGTTTCGTAGTCGTGGAGAAATCACGTAGAGCGAAACCCAACAGCGCTGATTTTTACGCATGAAAATTATGTGCAGTTCCTACGTTTTTTTCATACGTAATTCCGTAGAGCGAAACTTCCCTGATATCATCCAGGCCCGTAGCAGTCTCATTCCAGTTGGTCGGGCAAGATCCAACCTCAATTAGCACCCCCACCCCCCCCCCCCCCTGCTATGTGATGTTCATCAGGTGTTTGTCGCACTGGAAACGGAGCGTCTCCGTAAGTAGAGAGGTTCCGGGGTACGATTTTCCGTGCCAAAATCCGTGTGGGCGCTACGGATTTTTTCCAGGCGTGCTCCATACGATTTTGGACTGGCTTTCACACGAACCATGTTTCGTATGGAGATTTTGCGTCATCAGGTGCAGAAAGATTTTTCGCGTACAAATTTGGTACGAGAAACATGGATTTTCCGCGGGAAGTTTTGATTCCGGTACAAATTTTCAAAATAAAAAGGCATAGCACGGGAATTTGACGTGTTTGGGACCGTAACCTAGGCAATGACGGCAAACACATAAGTTCCGTACTCCGGAACATTTCACTGCTCGAAAACGACGTACATGTATAAAAAATCGGTAGCGCCTCTACGGATTTTGGCACGAAAAATCGTACTCCGGAACCTCCCTAGTTTGTATCCCGGGTGACGTTTGTGCCTGGAGAGCTCTATATAAGTGGTGCTCTTCAGGCAAAATCTTTCCCAGCCTACTCAAGCTCAACTGATGAGGGGTGAATTCCCGGAAACACTGTGCGTTGAGCAGGTAGTGGTGCTTTCTTGCAGGTATTCCGAGTCGAAGATTCGATGGACTTCTTGTGTGCTCTGGATGGCAGTCGTGAGTCAGTCAAGTATCAAGTCAAGTCGGCGGAATAGCGCGAGCTCCAGTGTGGGGAGCAAACCCATTCCTAATATAACAAGTCATCGCCCAAGTGGCAAGTAGCAACCACTATTTTGTGCTGTTTTTTTTTTAAATTAATTTTTCTGAATTTTGGGCTGTGTTGATGCACAAAATGATAATAATTATCTGCTCAACATTTTGTCCTTGCAGTGGTACATGGTAACGAAGACAGCATCACAATGCAATTGCGCTACTTACGACCGAACAACAGCAGTGTGTTGGTGGAGATGGTGGCGAATCTAGAGAGGACCTCTCCCCGGATGTACATCAATGTAAACAATTATATCGTAAGGTGAGTTGATATCTGCCTCCCCTACCCCGTCGTACCTCACCCCTGTCTAAGTACTTCACCCTTGAACCCCACCCTTGCGCTGTATCATTGTACATCAGTTTGAATCAAAACAAGCAGTCTAACATAGTGAAATGACAGTTCAGCTCGTTCTGTTGATCGCAGATTTTAAAATCATTTTTTGCCTCAACGCTTATTTAAAATACCAATGCATGGGAGGTATGCATCCAAGATGGCCGTCACCTTTTTGTGGGGCAAGTTACCCCATACTTGGCAGGTACAGCCCGTTATACGGAGGAGTTCTAATCTTAGCTCGTGAAGGTCTGTGTGCTTCCATTGATCAGCTACCGGATTTTCAGCAACCGGGCTTGGAAGCGCTAGCACTTCGGCTTACACTCGCTGAACATAAGCTTGTCTCACCTTCTGACCTGCCAACACCCCACCTAACAGTAGCCTGTATCTACCGTGTTCCTTCCCCGTCGACGGATGACTTCTCGACTTTTCTCGACCGCTTCCAAATAGCCCTGCAATCAACTCAAAGGAAGCCCGAAGCCCTTGTGGTATCAGGCGACTTCAACTGTAGGTATTCCGGCTGGTGCTCAACTGACGAAACGGATGCACAGGGTCTGAGTCTTGACAACCTCTTCTCATGCTATAATTTGACCCAATCGGTAACCTTTCCCACCCACCTCCGCTCGAATGGACTTGGCAGCTGTCTACCCTTATCCGACCGGCCAGTCAAAAAACGACGACTATCCGTCGATGACATTAACAAGCTGTAACTCACTTAGTTTTGATTGAATCTGCACCATTTTGGTCTCAAAAGAAGCTGGAAAGACCCACCATTCATTTGCAAAAGACCGGAGCGTGTTAGCATCTTTCAAAGAGAAGTTATAGGTCTCTGAGTGAGGTCTGTTTTCACACCACATACGAAACAAGTTTTCAAATGGTTTAACTTTGGCAATGATTATATTGCCCTCCTAAAACTATGCCTGGATGCTTCCCTGATGGTATATTCAAAATGTGTCAGCATGAAAGTACAAAATTAAGACTACAAATGGTCCACATGTCGATGAGCCGTACTTCTCTTCAAAAAATGGAATTGGAGATGGATTTTTGTTCCTCTTACAAATAAAGGCTAGAAACTGTTTCTAGAGAATTCCTCATGGCTCAAGCTTTCCAAAAAGCCCAAGTTTGCCAATATCACCCAAGGGAAAGTAAAGTTATCAACAAAATGAGTCGCGGCGTCTCGCTTGGACTGAGAATTTGTCCACTTTGACGGCCGGATAAGGGCTAGACCTTATCGCGAGCAACATCCCTAACCAACTCAACCACATTCAAAAACTGGCTGCTCTTGGCGCATCAGACCATGCCGTCCTGCTAGCTGAGTTCTCCTCCTCAAAGTCTTCCCCCACAGCAGCCAGCACCTGTCGTAGCCCACCATCTACACAAAGATACAGTGTCCTGCGTGCCACGGATAACATGTGGAATGCCATGAATGTTTTTCTCGCAGATGTACCCTGGTCTCAGGTCTTTGCCTCCCACTGCATCGACACGGCTGTCTCGGCATTCACTGACATCCTTGAAGGTGCCTTGGACCTATATATAGGAAGATCCTCACCTCCTCGTCGGAAATCACGCCACAAACCCTGCCCCTGGATGACTGCATCACTGAAAGCAGCTATTATTGAATAGAGTCAAGAGTGATCTCTACAGCATCTACCGGAAATACCCATCCCCTACAAATTTCAACAAATACAAACACCAACGTAACTATGTAAAATGCCTTTCCAGATCCTGCCATCGCTGCTACATCCGCAACCTCCGTGCCACGATATCTCCCACAAACCCTCGCCTCCCCCCCCCCCCCCTGTGCTCATCCGTCAACTGCGAAATCCTACCAGTGCCCGGGTTATACATGTACCTTCGAAGATGGTGGGCTCCAATGGTCGAACAAGCACCTCTCCGGCATCCATTGGTAACTTATTGAACCGCCACTTCGTCGGTGATGGCTTACAGGTTGACCCCGATGCTCCTATTCCCATTATTTCCTCCCTACCTCCACCAGCAACTAGATTGCACTCCCTGATCATCACCTCATCTACTGTTCACAAGAATATTGCAAGACTGCCTCTAAACAAATCCCCCGGAGCTGATAGGATCACCAATGAGATCCTCAGGAAACTGAGCTACTCAATTGCCCGCCCACTCTCCATTCTGTTTAACCTTTCCCTCTCCTCCGGCACATTCCCGTCACGATGGAAATCATCCACTGTCATTCCAGTGTACAAAAATAAAGGCGACAAGAACAACCCGTCTAATTACCGACCAATCTCCCTCCTGTCCTGTGTCTCCAAACTGCTAGAGAGAATAGTGTACGACCGCTTGTATGACCATATCTCCCCTCTTCTTCACCCCGCACAATCTGGCTTCCGTCGTAAGGACAACACATCCCTGCAATTGTCCCGCATAATTCAAGACCTCTGCTCCCTAAAAGACCAGCGGCAGGTCTCCTGCATCTGTTTCTTCGACCTCTCCAGGGCCTTCGACACCGTGTGGCACTTTCACCTCAATAGAACGGTCCCCTTTTACGTCAATAGAACGGTCCCCTTTCACCTCAATAGAATGGTCCCCTTTCACCTCACTAGAATGGTCCCCTTTCACCTCACTAGAACGGTCCCCTTTCACCTCAATAGAACGGTCCCCTTTCACCTCAATAGAACGGTCCCCTTTCACCTCAAGTACTCTCCTTGTTTCTTTTCCTTTCTCGCTGTTGTCTCCCACTTCTGGGAGCGACGTGGGCATTTTGTGGCAGTTGTACATAGTAGTAGTAGTAATTCATGTGTGTGTGTGTGTGTGTGTGTGTGTGTGTGTGTGTGTGTGTGTGTGTGTGTGTGTGTGTGTGTGTGTGTGCATGTTTGGTGTGTGTATGTGTGTGTATATGTTTTGCACCCTATGTTAGCATATCTGCACAGCCTGTGATGGTTCCCTTTAGAGCCAGTGCGACACCAGTAGTGGCGCCTCAATCACCTGGCCTGCCGGTCAAACAAGCCATGCCGAAACCACCAGCAGCAGAAGCAGCGGCATCGGCAACCGCTGCCTCGGAAGGACATCGACCACAGCCTCCCGCAGCCGCCATCTCCACCACAGACTCTGCCTGGGCACGAGATCCTCTGCTGACTCCCGCAGCTGCAGCGTCTATCTCCGCCACGGACTCTGCCTTTGCAGGACGTCATCTGCAGACTCCAGCAGGCGCCACGTCTATCTCCACCCTGGCCTCCGCCGGCAGATCTGCACTGGCTGCCACCACCTCCGCCACTTTCCGGAGATCCAGTTTGAATGTCAAATCGGGAGATCTTGTATCACCAGACTCGGTTTCCACCCCGGATGTCTTCCCCAAGCTCTCGTCACAAGCACAGGTGTCTTCGTTGGCGCTTGCACGTCCTGCTAGCATGACTGTGCAATCAACCATGATGCGCTCTCCAGTCAGTACAAGTCCAGTATTTGTATCACAATCCCCACGGAAATCCAACGTAACTGGCCTGTCGTTCGCACAAGCCATGCCGAGATCATCTGAAGCAGCAGAAGCAGCGGCCGCAGCTTTCAACGCTGCCTTGGCGCATCAGCTACAGACCCCCGCAGCCGCCGCGACCATCTCCACCATAGCCACTTGCATTTCTACACCGTCTGCCACCGCTACTGCTGCCAGTGTGGGATCAGCCGGAGTAGGGCTTCCTGGCAGCACGCATTTCAGCAGAAGCATGCTGGTCCAAGCACCAGCACTGCCAACTCACTTGCTCCCATCACCTATAGCCATAGCCGGCCTGGCCACGGATGCTATTCTGGCCCCTGGCATTCCGACATCGGCTACACCCAACTCATCGCTTTCTGATGCTGCCGAGTCTGGCCCCTTCACAGATCTGTCACATGGGCTTGGATCCAGCCTGCATGCTCCTCTGCCTTCTGTCATTCCGCCATCGACGCCGGCGTCTGCATCTGCCCCATCACGTCGAGAAATGACGCTTTCGCAAATGAGCCGCGGAACACCCTCTTGCGGCCACCCTGCTGGATATCCTCCAGAGGCTTAGGCAAGGACTGGCAATGAAACCGGCACTCCATGCTTGCCCAACTGCCTTGTGTATATTACACCTCGACTTTCTCATGCATGTCTGTTGTACTGTATACAGCCTTGTGTATATTACACCTCGATTTTTTCATGCATGTCTGTTGTACTGTATACAGCCTTGTGTATATTACACCTCGATTTTCTCATGCATGTCTGTTGTACTGTGTACAGCCTTGTGTTTTTACACCTCGATTTTTTCATGCATGTCTGTTGTATGTGGTAGAGTATGCAATGTTTGATACTGGGTTGACCCCTAGCTGAGTCAACTATCCTTTCCAGTGCCTGCACACGCGTTTTACATGCACCTCCTCTCCCCCCCCCCCCCCCACACTCTTGTATCAGGTTTTCTCTTCGCAGCCTTCCGTCATTATTTTCTGCACGATTACTTCCTTGCATGAAATTGTTTTTTTGTCACACTGATGTAGTCTAGTACTGCTCTTCTTAAATTTGACTTTTTTTTACAAGACTCTTCTTTTCTTTTCATTTCGTTCTCCCACTCTCACACACACATGCTCACAGTCATTTCTGCCGTCGTGAGTCGCATTCGGGACGAATACGAGAATGAGCGCTTTGTGGCAAAGCACTGATTTCCATGGCGACGCCAACCAAAATGGTGTCGTTCATACTTTCTCTTTCTTTCTTGCTGTTGGCTTCACTGCAAAGTCCAATAATTGGTGGGGACTTTTAGCTTCGAAGCGTGGTCGTGGTGCACCAATGCAATGGTACATGTGTGTAGAGCATGATGCGGGTATGTCTGATCGTCAATGTGTGGTGAAGCATGTTGTCTACAGCATGCTGTGCACACTTTGTCAAGAGCTGTTAGTGTACGTTGGAAACACCAAGCGGCCAGTGTGGGGGCGGTTTCAGGAGCACTATAGCGGAAGCGTGGACAATAAAAGGGTTAGGGAAGGCCCTTCAAACTGGGAGTAACAGCAACACAGTCATCATGGTCACATATGTACAGTAAAACCTGTCAAGGTGACCACCTGTCCTAGAAGACCACCTGTCCTAGAAGACCACCTGTCCTAGAAGACCACTAGAACCCGGACCAAGGGATGCTATTTCCAGTCAATTGACCCTGGATAAGGAGACCACCTGGTAACAGAGACTACATTTTGAAGATCCCTTGAGCGGTCGTCTTGGACAGGTTTCTCTGTACATGTACCTCGGGCGCGTTCGAATTGTCACTCTTTGACTTTTCGAGGAGTTTCGTTTTTCTGAAGAGCTGGCCTTATTGGCCTCTTCAGAAAAACAAAACTCCTCGAAACTCCACAACCTCATCCGATGGGAGAGGTGGATTAGTTTTAGTTCTGAAGAGTTTGGAATAGCTACATGTACGTCACCATGGTCACGTAGTAGATCTACATGTACATGTATAGTCATGTACATGTACGTGGAGATGGTCGATCTGATCGGACGTCATCAAAATTTGTTCGAACAGTTGATGAAGACGACCCCTTAGGCCTTACCCTTGCTTAGTATAGCCTAGCTCTACTACTACAGTACATACTACAGTACATGTAGATCTACTAAGTACTAGTACAGGTGGAATCCTGATAATTCGAACCTCCAAATGCCAGCAAAAAACTTCTAATTATCCGGACATTCTAATTATCCAAACATGAACCCACAACACAACATGTACATGTATGTCAAAATGCTCCCATGGTAACCATGGTCACGCAGAGTTGCGCTATAGTATAGACCTTAGACACAGATTTCACGGATACTGAACTGACCAGCACAGCCTAGCCTGCTCATGCAAACTGAACTGACCAGTACAGTGTACAGTGAACTTCGAATTACACTTTGCTAACTTCAAATTATCAGCACAAATCCCACACATTTTCTATGTACATGTAAGTGAAATCCGCGGAACTAATACTTAGAATTAATCGGACATGTCCAGTTCGAGGTTCGAATAATCAAAAAGTATAGTTTCGTTTTTCTGAAGAGGTGGCCTTATTGGCCTCTTCAGAAAAACGAAGCTCCTCGAAACTCCACAACCTCATCCGATGGGAGAGGTGGATTAGTTTCGAAGAGTTTGGCTACGTCACGTAGTACGTGGAGATGGTTGATCTGATCGAACGTCATCATCGCCACGACAATTGACACTTATCTCACAACTAATCTCTTTTTGAACAGTAATAGTAATACAATGTATTACATGTCATGTAGATCTACTAGTACTAGTAGTAGTAGTACTAACCTAGTAAGTATTAGTTACCTAGTCTACCACAATGCACAGTACATGTAGATCTACCAGGTCTACCCACACTTGTACTTTGTAGTAGACCTACCAGTCCCATGCATGGTGTACAGATCACCCCAAATGTGCGAGGGGCCCGCGGCGGCGCGGCCCCGCGCTACATGTAGATCTACACTACAAAAATGTTGTCATCATTCATCATGTTCATGGTCACGTAGCTAGATCATCACTGACATCAGCCAGTCAGCTCAGACGCTGAGCTGAGCTGAGCTGAGCGTCGAGCGGAGCGTAGGTGGTGATCATGGTGATCATGGTGATTGGTGTGTAGATCTACCTGGTCGCATTTACTTGTAACTGGCATGTCTTTTGATTGAGCTGAATATTCCACAAAATAGAAGAAGAAACGCTGCCAACATTTGCCAGCTAGCTTTGGCTTTTACTTTTCAGGTGGAAAATGCAACTGCTAGTAGGAGTGTAGGAGTTGGGACTTGTTGGTGGTAGAAGATACAGGTATGTCACATGCAACTCGGAGCTTACAATTTACATAGCGTATGAGTATGGTCGCCGAATCATTTGGCAGCCGGCAACAGAGTGAAGGAAATGTCATCACATAGCGGCCAGGCATAGAGAATCCGCCGTGACTTGGATATCCATCGTTCAGCGGCCCGCCAGCCACGAAATCCAAAAAGAATTTACGAGAAAAGCCAGTGACATCGAGGGAGGCTGTGCGCAGCACGAAACGCCTGGAGAATTCAGGGCAATCGCTGGCGTCGAGCTGATCCCGTTGCGCGAACTGTCAAAGCATCGAACACCAAGAACCAGAGATGGAAGCGGAGTCGAACCAGAGCGAAGAATCAGCGAGTGCCAATGGCGCGCAGAAGTCGTAAGTAAATCCACCAGGGCGCGTGGCAGTTTTCCTAGTATACACGCACGTACATGTGATAGCCAGCGTTCTCCTGGAAATACTCGCGATTGTCATTATTTACACCGTTGTTCGTGTGTGTTACTAAAATTTAATGTATGCGAGAAAGTGGCAGGTGGTTACATGATTCAGTAGCATACACGAACAACGGTGTAAATGCTGCTAATTGTACCTGCTATTAAACTGTCATTATTATAATAATTTTGGTTGAATTGCTTATGCAATTTACTACGGGCTCATCGTAATGTTCCCAACAATGTCGTTTGGAAGATCACTGACGGAAGTTATCTTTTCTGCTTACGCTTGTGAAGCATTTTGTGAATGCAAGCGACTCAGACCCCAACATCTAAAAGTGGTCAAAACTCCTCTTGGGTGCCTAAATCTACCAATAGTCAACACGTCAACACAATGCGTTGACTATTGCAGAAGTGAGGAGCGCGCCAGCGACGTGTTGGTGGCATGCATTACCAGGACCACCTTATTTTGGGTGGTTCGGCAAGATCCAACCTCAGAGTCAATTAGTACCCCCCCCCCCCCCAGGTAGTCCCCTAATCCCGGTGTATTTTTATGATGCATTTGCTGCTGTGCTCGATCACATTTTCCTGTTCTTACTTCTGCTCCTTCCACGGCAGCTCCAATGAGCCAAAGGAGACGAAGAATCCAGAAGTCGAAGAATCGTGAGTGCACCCATGTGTGTGTGGTAATCCTTGCTCAACCAGTGCGTTGTCTCCAATGTGATGTTCTAAATCGGGAGCCGTCCTTGCCAGTATTTTGCCACTCTGTTTTGCTACTGTCGGTGTTAAATATGGAATCTTGTTGCCTATCAGATCTCTTTTTTTGTAGTGCGTCACATCTCTCCTTATCCACCTTCTCGCAAACACCCAGCACATGGTACCACTAATCTAAAGTTTCAAACTTTACCAGCTGCTCGTGATGGCCTCAGGTGCAAGATGCCATAGGCTTAGCTCAGGGCGCACTGCTGCTACCACTGCGCATAACGACGTTTCAGCATGCTTAAACGCCTCATGGTGGAGGCGATGGAATACGCTGCACGGCCACTTGCAGAAATGTCAAACGCTATTATTCCGTCATGCTGTAGAATGGCCAACTACAGTGATGGCAACTGAAATCCGACCCCCCCCCCCCCCCCCCGGCTGGTGCGCCGCGCCGCCCGGGGGGGGGGGGGGGGGGGGCGGATTTCAGTTGCCATCACTGTATTATAGGGAAAAATATTAGCGTTTTCTGAATCTGGATCAATTCACGATGAATATGTTGAGCTACAGAGTGTAATATCACCGGCGCTAAATTAGCCGTTCTACAGTAGGTAGTGTCTTCAGATACAGTATAACCTGGTGTAAGCGACCTCTGGGTTTAGCGACCACCTGCCCTTCACGACCGTTTTTCCACGCACCCACAGTTCTACACAGACACTGTGGGACCTGGTTCTAAAGACCACCTGGCTTTAACGACCGCTTTTGCTCGCACCGTGGGGTGGTCGCTTGAACCAAGTCTTACTGTACAGTATAGGCTCGTCACAATGAAATTAAATGATTCCGGTTTTCTCCTGTGTGTGCATGCGTGCGGGCGGGCGCATGTGTGAAGGCGTCGCGTACGATCTCGTGAGGCGGCCAAAAGTCGGCGGGACCAGGAGAGTATCGAGATCTTCAACCTGTCGCAGCTTCTGCCCGTGCCAAGTCATGTCATCGACAGTTTGGACAAGTCCACCATTCTGCGGCTGGCTTTCAGTGTCCTGCGGGTTGGCGCATTCCTTGGAAAGAGTGAGTCCTTTTTACGTGCTGGCCAGCGAAATCCAACCTCATGAATGATGTTGCACTGCGTTTGAGTGCACAGACCAGTATGTGTAGTGCTAGGGCTGTGTAGTGCCCGGCAATGCTATTTTATTCATGAGGTTGAATTTCTTTGGCCAGTACTATACTTTGTTAGGTGGTCCTTTGCTCGTATCCCTTTTTCACCTTCGCCAACCTGATCAATACCCTGTTACTAAGAGTGACATTGACAGCCTGTTTCTGATCGGTTCCATTGATAGGGCTTATGCACATTGTACTGATGTGCGAAATCCCGTAGAATCCCGTTGACCCGGTCGTGTGTTGAATGTACAGTACTCTATCGTGATTTTTGTTATTTCCACTTTGAATCGTGTCCTGGAGGCCTTTCATACAACAGCTTTTTTTCGGAAAAAAAGGATCTCAATCTCTTCATTGGCTCTATCCAAAGTGATGAAGCTGAAAAAAGGGAATGTCATCCGTGGATCAAAAGGCACAATTGGTGAAACGCGAATGTGTAGCATGCAAGGGTCACCCAACCGGGCATGTACAGACCTAGGGGATACCCATTCAATATGTCTTGGCTGTTGGCACTACATGTACACTGACAGTCTGTATGTTCCGGCTAACATTATATTCTTTACTGCATTACGGCTTTGCATTGCCTTCTGTCTGACCAGGTACATTTTCAAAGCCAAATGAACCGCAGTCACCTCAAGAAGGGTCTGGTGAGTGTTGCACGCTCTCTGCTGCAATCACTACAATTTGTACTGCTGCCGCTCACAGCACATTCC